GGTTATGTTCTCTGAGGCCAGAGTCCTTGCCCATCGTTGAGGATGACAGCAGAGATGTGGAGAAGACAGGAATTCTGGGGAGGGGGGCCAGCCAACTCTAATGTGAAGTCCATTTGAGCTTTCATTCTAGACATTCTTCCTCTCCAGGTCTCTTCTGTCTAAGGATGCTCTTCTATAGGCTCTGTTTCTGAGTTGTTCTAAAGCCCTGGCTTGTCTCTGCCCTCCCAGAGTGGTCCTGCCAACCAGCAGGGTGAGGTGTAGTGGTTCTCAAACTTTCCTGGGCACAAGGATCTATCTACAGCCCCAGATTATAAAATAGGAGATTTCAGGGTCTCACTCTCAGAGATCATGATTCAGGAGGTCTGAGTGGGACCCAGGAATCTGGACCTCAGGTGTTTCTGATGTAGGCAGTCCATGCGCCACACCTGGAGGAACATAAGTTGAGAGGAGAGTATGATTGTTGAGGAATGAACGAGACAGAACTGAGTTACTTATTGTGTTACCTGTTGAGCAAGTTAATTTCCATTTCTGAGCCTTTGTTTCCTCATCTATAAAATGCTAACCACTTCGTAGGGGAGTTTTCAGATGTCAATGAGATGATATATATAAAATGTTTAGCAGGGGCTTGTTTAATAAGAGTTTTGGCTTTCTCTCCCTCTCCTTCAATATCAGAAAAGTGGCAATAGAGAGTTTCAATTCTTCCCAGTTCTGGCATATCAGTGGAACTCTCCCTGGCAGTGGGCAACTGTGGAAAGTCTACAGAATAGTCTAGAGGAGCATGCACATCTCCAGTGCTGTATGGCTGATCAGACAATCTGGATTTCTCAAGCAATGTCATGAAAAGAAACCGCCAGGAGGTCAGAGGTCAGCCATTGGCTGCCATTTTTATTTGCAGGAAACCACAGAGTCAGGACACACACACACAGTACGTTACAGAACAAGTCCATGGCACTCTGTGCAGGCAGACAGGCAGGCTCGAGCAGGCAGCCACCATTACAGAACGACACATCTATGGAGGGGAGGCAGTGGGGGTGGAGGAGCAGGGGAAGGCTCTGGACTCTGGCACTGTGCTAACTAGTTCCTGCCTCAGTCTCGGCTGGTAGAGTCTGCATTTATGAGCCACAGTGGTGGTGTGTTAGGACCTTTAGCCTCACCCTCAAAACCTGAGGTTTAGCTAAGTTCTCTAAGAGGAAGCAGTGCATTTCCATCAATGGGACTGAGTTCTCTCCCAACACACTTGCAATTAGAAAGGGTAAAATGGGTTTGATACACAGAAGAGAAAACGCTCACACTTCGGGGATTGGGTATGTCTGTTTGTATGTGTGTGTGTGAGTGTGTGTATTGATGGAGGGCTTATCCAAGAGTTTCCCTGTAGTGTTTTTTTCATGTTGGCCCCCCAAATCAGCTGATTTCTGAGGCTGATCAATCCTCAAGAGGGAAGGAAGGTAGATTCTTGGCTGAGGGGTTAGGAGTAGCCCTCCAGGGTCAGCAGGGCTGGGGGAAGCCTTGGGCCTGGTGGGAGACCCAAGAGAACAAGGACCCTGCCCTCTCTCCTATGGCCGTAGCATTTACCCTGGGTGAAGGCAAGATCATTGAAGATCGAAAGTCTTTGGAACTCCACTGTTTGATAGATGGAGAAAGAGAGGCCCTAAAAGGCTGAAGGCCACATCCAAGGCGGTGTGGCTGAGACAGGACTGTAGCCCCTGCCTATGTTGCTCTTGTTTCCCAGGCAAGGTTTCATCTCTCACACCATCATGGGACGTGGAATCACTCTCTTCCACAGCGGCCTCTATGGAACATTTGTCAGACTATTCCAAGGTAGAAGGGTCTCACTTGTTTTCTGCAGAGAGAAAAAAGCATCCATTAGAACCCCCTTAGCAGGTGGCTTCTTGGAATTATGATTACTTGCTAACAATAACACTTTCTCTGAGATATCTACCAAGCATTGAGGACAATGGTACAGGGAGGCACAAAAGGTTACTTCTTCCCATTCTATGGAAGAGGGCAGCTGTGCCGGAAGCTGGGTCAGCAACTTTCTGTAGGGACCTCTTCTCTTTAGTTGGGTCTCCTGCTTCTTGCCATCTGGAGAAGAAAGAATATGCTGCAGGTTTTGAAATCTGCCTCTTTGTCAGGTGACCTACCCACTAGACAACACTGCCTCTATCAAGACTGTAAGCTACCTTGGCAGGTTTGCACAGATCAAAAGGGGCAACATCTGGAGCATCAGACCCTGTCCACGTGTAGACCTGACTTGTCCCCTACCCAGGGGCCTGGGAAAATGGCTTTGGAGAAGAATTCTGTATATGGTGTTGTAAGAACCAATGCTGAATAACCACCATTCATTATTAAACTATGATCAACAGAGCACAGACATTATGCTATGCTGGCTACCCACTTGACATGAAAGGTTGGACTCGATGACATCTAAGGAAGGGCTTTTCTGACAATAGGGTCTATGATTCCAGAATTCCCTGTGCAATGGACTTTTCATATTAATTGTGATAGTCTATCAGAAACTGACTCCAGTAAGGTTATGCATGTGGGTTTTTGCTTGTTTGGTTTTCATTGATTTTACAGAAGCCAAACCCTCTTAATGCCATGGCCTCTAGTTTCTTCTTTGTTCCTGATTCTGTTGTTTTTACACTGAAACTAATATCCTTATGTTCTGGATGTTCAACTGTGTCATTTTAGGTTAAACCTCCCAACAATTCCGAACCCACAAAGGTTCTTTATGCCTGAGATGTGACTCAAAAGGTAAAGAGAAAAAGGAGAGTAGTATTGAACAGAGGAGTTTAAGTTAGACATTGAGGACAATTTCTTGATGGGAGAAGTTGTATGATGCTGGAATGCATCCTGAAATTGGGCTCTGGGCTGTGTCCTCTAATCTTTCCTGGGCCTTTGAAGCACAGACTTGCCTGGAGATAACAAAGTGGGCAGATATCCCCTTAAGATCCTTTTGATCCTCTGATTTTATGTATGAACACTCTAAAAATAGAATCATGGGGGATGGGGGAGAAATGAAGATAAATATCATGAGGATAAAAGAAAGAAGAAAAAGTGGAAGACACAGACACTGGGGGTGGGTGGAGGCTGAGAAAAGCAGAATGCAATGAGAAAAGATGGAGAAAAAGTAAGAGACCTGCACTGAAACATGTTATGAGGTTAGAATACAGAGCCTGGCAAATAGACATCGTTTAATAACAAAAGATTTATTGATGAGTAAATGAATAAATGCATTAATTATTCTTTCCAGCTCGATTTTGCATGTGGGAAAACTGGGATATAACATGACTTGCCCAAGTCCCTACTGCTAATTGGTGTCGGGGTGGGAAGTAGAGTTGGCCCCATGAGAGAAGGAGAGCAATGCTGAGCAGAAGGAGAAGAGTGCGTTTCCTCAGCTGATGCTGTGTGGGTAGGAGGTGCCCTTGGGTCGTGGCTGGTGATGCTCAGGAAGGAGAATGTGAACAGCCACAGGCTGAGACCCCAGTCTTCTCTGGGACTGCCTTGAGCTGCCCAGGCCTGGAGTAACTGAGGCAGCAGCGTGGAGCACATCCCTGCAAAGGCCTCACAGGTCCTCCCACTCCCTTTCCTTTCCTCAAGGGCAGGAGGAGAACCAAATGCTGGCCTAAGATCTTCCCCTCTCCTCTTGGGAACCATGTAAAACATCCACGGAATTTGAAGATCGGGATCAAGGCCTTCTCTTGCTTTCTTTGTCTCCTCACTTCTCTTCAAAATTCCTGAGTGCAGTAGCCAAAAGTTTCTTTGCTCCCTCAGGAAAATGGAGTCTAGGAAAGGACGGGAGTTCTTACCAAGTCAGTTGGAGGCAAGATCAAAGGCACATGACCTGTCTTGGAGAACATCTGACAGATTTCTATAAATGTCATTTTTCTCCCTTGGGGGAAGATAGGAATTCCCCTCTATTTTTTCTCTCCATCTGCCCTAGACCTTGCTCACAAACATCTCAGGAGGGACATTTGAGCTAGAGTCCTCTGAGATGTCAAGGAGGCTTTGACCTCTAATCCTATTTTATTTCTCTCATTGCTCCTCTGCAGTGGGACAAAGCACTGTGGCCCCATCATGGAAAAGAGCCGGGAAAAGGGGCAGTGCCACTGTGAAGGGGACTCAACACATGAAGTGAACTTTGTCTTTTGAATACTTATTTTCCCCCCTCAGGAAACTGCCAATTTTAATTACTGGGATATAGGAGGGAACATTGTGCTTCCTCTTTCCTGCTATGAAACGACTCATGAAGAGTAGTACAAATGGGCCTCTCTGTTCTGAGGAGATGGAGAAAAGGAAAATCACATTGCCTAGACAAGGCAGACACAAGTGCGCTCCTGGGAAGGGCTGCCAAGAGCTCTTATATAAGCTGCAGTGAGCTCATGTGTTTTCACGCCCATCAGCGGATCCTGGGCTTCAGGGCCAGGGGTTAGGCTGGAGGAGGGAGCTCAGAAGAGACTGTGTTCTTCCAAAGAGGGGGCGCTCTGGGAAGAAAACATCTTCCTACTCTGAGGATGATGAAAACAATTTGCATTTTCATGTCAGTCAACATAGACTTTCATTCCTCATGGCAGCAATGTCAGGAAAGGAAAAGGTGATGATGGTCTTATGAGCCCCATGGTGTGGGGGAAGGGGTTAAGGAGTCACAGGTATGCAGATGTGCACTGGGGGCATGGATAAGAGAGCTTTCTCTCCTGATGTGGGGGAAGCCAGATGGGTGCTCAGTTAGATCCATCAGCTACAGGCTGGGAATGAGGCCTCGGTTGCCAGTGGTTGCAGCTACCTAGGCTGTTCTTGAATAGGAACCTTATTTCATTTATTTGACTGAGACAGGCTCAATATTCTGGAAGCTTGTGTCACTTATTTCACCAGCTTCCCTTTTGTTTGGCAGAATCACTAAGCCGAGAGACTTTTGCAAGCAAACTAACCAACTACCTTGCCCGCCGTCTTGCCCAGAACATCTGCAGTCAGCCCGCTCTGACCCCAGCAGCTAAGCACAGAGCAAGTGGAGTGATACCTGCTTCTCTTACACTTTGCCTATTGAAAATGGTACCTCACCATGCATAAATGAGCCAACACGTCTCAACCAGATGTTCTCTCGGCAGTTGACACACTTCCAGTTCAGTTAAGCCCCAGTGGAGGCGGAGGATCTGTCTGTACATCTCAGCAGCCTGCCCCCTCCCTCAGTTAGCTTCACATTCTTCACATGGTGGGGGCAATAATTATAAGTGTTTTCTTTATATGATTAACTGAATCTGCGGAGATAATATTTTACCTGTCCAAAATAATACTGTGCCCAGCCTTTCTGTAAGTACTAATGCTTTAAACATTTTTATTTCAAAAATAAGAACATGCATTGTTCAGGTAAATTTCTAACTCCTCTAAGTGCTTTGCATTTTCTCTCTGGCATCATTAGTGCTTATAATACTTCCCCATTTTGTGTCTTTTGAGAATTTAGTGTCTTTTGAGAATTTAGTTAATGTGCTCTTTACCTTCCTCTTTCCAGATTAATCAGGAACATTTTGAATGCAACTAAGACCTTCCTTGGGTTCCACCCAAAACCTTCTCCTCATAAGTGTTAGAGTGATGTCTTGATTAACTTCTATTTGTGAAAACTGGATTCAGTCACTTGAGAAATGACTGTGCTCATATGTACAACACCCAGAAATCTTCTTCCAGCAATGTGGACTACCTTTAACATTTAAGAAATGATCCACCATAATGACGTATGCATAAGTATTTTGGTGTGAGATGTCATAACTTCTATAATTTACTTAAAAATATTTCAAGGAAAAAAAGATGAAACAGATATGGCAAAATGATAATTCTTGGATCAAAGTAATGGGTATATGGGTTCTCATTAGATTTAGGTCTCTACTCTTCTGTATGTTTGAAAATTTTCATAATAAAAAGAAATTATTCCAAGGTATTCTAATTCCAGGAAGTATATTTAACCTGGAGGAGGGTGGGGGAGCTTCAGGAGGCTGACAGGGAGAGGATGGGTGGTGGGAATTGCTTAATCCTCTTGGGTTTATTATCATTACCTTAATGCCTGGAGGTAGCAGAGTATGAGGATAACAAACCCCAAACAGCAATTAAATGACATCCTCTTTATTAACATCCTCCATGCACATATGTTTCTCTGAGTTAAAAGATCTAGTTCTCAATCCTTTTACTTCAAGGATATTGGGGAGATAGGATATATTCATCAGGAAAAATTTTCTTTTCTTGAAGATCATGTCATTTTCTGGTAACCAACTGGTACCAGTTTTCTTAAAAAAAAAAAAAGATAAAAAAATAAGTTCATTAATTACTTTGAAAGTACTGTTGTTTAATCCCTCAGCAGAAAATGCAGACTTTCTGGATTCTTCTAGATTGCCACTTACACTGTGCAGTTCATAAATTTATTTCCTTTTATATTGTCTAAGGTAAAAAGAAATTTCCAGGGTCCAGCCCGGTGGCTTAGTGATTAAGTGTGCGTGCTCTGCTACTGGCGGCCTGGGTTCGGATCCCGGGCGCGCACCAACGCACCGCTTCTCCGGCCATGCTGAAGCCGCGTCCCACATACAGCAACTAGAAGGATGTGCAACTATGACACACAACTATCTACTGGGGCTTTGGGGAAAAAAAGGAGGAGGATTGGCAATAGATATTAGCTCAGAGCCAGTCTTCCTCAGCAAAAAGAGGAGGATTAGCATGGATGTTAGCTCAGGGCTGATCTTCCTCACACACACACAAAAAATTTCCATTTTATTATCCCTCACCTTGTCATTCTTCCTAAGATTCCATTTTAAAAAGGATTTTTTTTTTTTTGGAAAGGAAAAAGTTCAATTTTTCCCATCATTCCAGAAGCAGTGTGTTTACCGCAAATTATGTTTCACCCAACAGACTTTTAAAAGGATACCTCGAATCTCCTTTCCACCTTTAGATATCAATTACTAAATTCTGATGTTTGAGTACCTGACCTCATCTCACTTGCACATGATCTTTAATATGGTCTCTGTATCTTTTACTATGATCTTTAATATTAGGTGAACACTCTGATCTCGTTGAGTCCTTCACCAGGTGTTCATTGTTGGCTGTTCTCTGAGTAGCATCTTAGGAGATGGGCCAGCTGGTACCTTGGAGAGAAGACCTAAGAAGGAGGGAGGTGTGTAAGGTGTATGTGGACTTTCTGCTGCCCAGACCTGCTCCTTCTCCTAATGTGCCTCTGCGCCCAGGCAAATGAATGCTCTTTCTCACTCTGGCTCTGTGGAAGAGGGAAGAGAGGGATTTGGATTTCCAGTTTGAGAAGGAATTAAGTCGTGGACAGGGAGTAGTAAATCCCTGTCACCATGCTTGAAGCTCAGAGGAATCAGTGATGGCATTGCAGGCATGGACAAGGGCTTTGAAGGCAGATACTGAAAGATCAGAATCCTGGATCTGCCGCCATGAGATTTGCTGTTTCTCCGTCCTCATTTGTCAAATGGGAACCATATAGCACCAACTTCATAACGTTTTTGTGAAGTTTAAAAGTGGTCATAAAAGTAATAAGCTTTGGACTGGACGATAAATGATAGTTGTTATTTAATAACAATTTTATTAATGCCTGGACATTTCCATTTTGCCATTAATTCAACTTTAAGCTTTTTATAAAAAAAGATTTCTCAGTCCTTTCTTCCATTTTTGGACTGTAGTGTTCAGCTCATCTCCCCGGCCCCAATACATCTGTTAAAAAATCCAGTTCTCTCTCTCTTTTCATCTCATGCATCTGTATCTTATTATGCTCATCTCTTACTGTAACTCCACTTCTGCGCTGCCTTTTTATTCTCTGTCAATTCTGACCTGATCTCTAAGAAGTAGATTGCAAATATTTCTGTCTTTCTGTCCAATTGAATTTCATATTTTCTGAATCATGAAGCTGCCCTCCATGTGACCTAGAAAGCCCTTTGATGATCCATATTTAGCTGTATCCATCACTCAACAGATGTCTGGATAGTTAAAGGCCCCTATGAGCTCCCTCTACGTCCTGTGGTTTCAAGTTCCTGAGTTGTTAGTTAAAAAACTTTCACCCCCTCTACCCTCCTTCCCCTACCCATTCCAGGGTAGAAGGACAGATACCCACATGAGCTATTCATTCATGCAACAAATATTTACTTATTACCTACTACATGCTTGATACTGGGTTAGATGTTATTCTCTTTGTTTCCAAATTGCATTTTCCTAATTCGACTCATTTAGAGTAGTCCTCCACGTTTTCTGATTATTTCTTCTAGGGAATGCAATGGATTTCGTTGAGCATCCAGTTAAATGGTCTCTTCTATCTGCAGTGTTTCCTGACTTGGAGGCTTAGCTGCAAACTCTAATGCCTTGCTATAATGCACCTGCCACTGCTTCCACAGATTTCAGGAAAACATAGGTTCATTGTGGGCTCCATTTAAGGGAGTTTAGTTAGCAGATGAGGCTGCAGAGTTCTGCTTGTGGTCCTGCACCATGGACATAAGGAAGGAAATGGTAGCAAAGGTGGAATGCCCAGCAAGGTAAGCAGCTAATTTTCAAAATCTCTTGGTTTTCTGTGTCCCTGGCTTCCCACAGAGATGCCCTTGGAAAACACACTTGGTTTTCTGTGTCCCTGGCTTCCCACAGAAAAGCAGGAAGGATGCCTCTCTGCTTTTTGAGCTCTCTGGATCTTCCCATTAGATAGCATCTCTTGGCATCTGAAAGGCAGCCTGCCATTCTGTTCTCTTGTGGAACACAGATGGCCCAGCCCACGCCTATCACTAATGAGGATCACATGCAGAGCCTTCTTGCTGGAGGCTCCCTGCAACAACCCTAGCCCTCCTTCCCCAAGCAGGTCAGTCACTGTTGACCATGGCATTTAAGTCTGAGAAGGCTGCTTGTGGCTCTCCCACTCACAGAGTTGAACAGAAAATCCATTAGGTAGGCCTGGGGAAATGAGTCCCATTCAGCTAGAATTTGAAATGTTGAGGATTAAGGGATGGTTGCCCATTTCATTGCAAGGGTGAGGTTTTAGGTTCCAGTTGTCCATGGAGGCTGTTGAGTTTTAATATGACCAAGCACTGGAAGTTCTTCACTAGGAACATGATTAGATGGCTATACCGAGGTTGACCAGATAGGAGACCGGTCTGTCAATACCATGTAATCTCACCCAGGATGATAGTAGGGTTGGAAATAGTTATATAATAATGTTAAAGGCACTAAAATATGGTAGAAAAAGCATAAATTTTGATGTGAGGCAGACGCATGTCAAGTCCTAGCTCTACCACTTGCAATGTGTTTGACTTTGGACAAGGTACTTCAACTTTCTATGCACCAATTCCTTTATCTGTGAAATAAGTGCAATACCCATATCACAGGCTGTTTTGAGGATTAAGTGGGACAGCACATGAAAAGACCTTGACACAGTGCCTTGCACCCAGTAAGCAATAAATGGGAATTCCCTTTCCTGTTTTCTCTCTATAGTAGAAAGTTGAACGATACATTCCAGTATGGTGGGACATGAAGGTGAGCTAAAACAATGGCCCCATGTGAAATTCTATACAATTCTGCTCTTTTGTTTGATCTAAAACTTGATTGAGATTTGAGATGTGAGATAGTTTCTTTTTCATTGTCATTGCGAGTCGGATGCAGGTCTGGTATTTGTGACTAGGAGAAGAATTCCAAACTGCTAATATGGACCTCAATAGAAATGCAAAATCTCTTTTGGTCTTGATACTGTAATCCATTCCTTTAACTCTCAGAGCCGCCGAGGAGAGATCACCACCACCAGTGATCTTGAGGGTGCCAATGAGTTTGGTCAATCCTGCCATGTATAAATGTGGTCTAACTCGTCAGTACCCACTGATTCAGAAATCTCTCTGGGAGTCATTATTCATTCCTTCAGAAAACAAGAGACGTTGTGGTATACGTTCAAAAGGAAGTAACAGACCTATTGATTTAACATGGATGCCTACAAAAATGCTTTCAATAGCTTTTTGGACAAGGTAGATCAAACACTGCTTGTTCCCCACCCAACCAGGTTAAGGCTTTTTCTGTAAGAGCAGATGGCTGTTCATTTCCCCACAAGGCAGCCCTTTCTATATTAGGCCAGCTCTAAGAGCAGATATTAGATTGAATAAAAATTGACCTCCCTACAACTGTGTTCTTTAGACCTGGTTCTGTTCTGTGGAGCTCCACAGATGAAGTCTGATCCCTGGCAGCTATCAGGTTTTCCCCTTAATTTTTCCCCAATCCCTTCCTCACTTAGGGGACAAGGAGTTCAGATCCTTAATTCTTGCTTGAAGATATGTAGAGGGGAGCAATGAAAGTCGTTAAACAATCACATAGAAGAAACTAGAAAGAATGTCTTAAGAATGAAACTCCTTATCCTAGAAAAGTACTTTTTGGAATATTATTGTAGAGGATGGTTACTTGCATGTTCCCATCTCCACTGAGAACAAAAAGAAGAAATGGTGGGTTTAAGGCAGTGTTTCTAATCTATAGATGTTGACAGACAAATAAAGGCTTGTGTGGTTCTTTACAGTGAGTTCTTAGAATTAAGCCTCTCTATATATATCGCCTAGTAGGGGATCTAGTACTTGACCACAGAACTCTGTTTTCATGGAGCACTTTATGGATACTAGTATTTTGTGAAACACATTTTAGGAAATTATGGTTTCAGATATGTTGTGGGGACTTAGACTAGACATTTGAAATAACTGATTATTGTTGGACCCTGGAACTGGTAGCCAAGGAACACCACATGCAGTTTCCTTCATTGGAGGATTGGTAGCCTCTTCCTCCCACTCCCCCTTCCCCCCACCTTCTAACATTAGCTTTAGGCACCCACCTGGCTGGGAGTGTTGAGGTGTAGGCCTGTGACAGCAGGAACCTGGGAGTCTAGATCCTTCCTAGCCCCATGATTCTATTTTTATGGATCCCAATTGTGGTAGTTCCACAGAAGGTACAGCCTAGCTGGGATAGGCAGTAACTGAGGGTTTTGGGCAAGAGGAGAGGGGGCTAGAGATGGGAAAAGTTGATGCAATTATTTTTGGCAGGAGTTGGAACCAAAGCAGCAGGAGAGAGTAAGTTTTAAGACTCTCTGGCAAAGTAACTTCCTAATCTGTCACTGAGTATGTGTAAAAAAGTGATTAGTGGGTCTCTATATTTATCATGATTACTCACAAATATGTAATTTACATAATATATACAGCACATTAAAGTACTATGTCACCTTATATAATGTGCATATGTATAATGTATATGCATGTTATGTAACGCCAGTCTGGAGGCTCTTCCAGATTCTGCCAAGTATTTCCTAATT